TTCGAATGGGTTGCTGTAGGTGGCTATTTGTGTTTTATCCTAATTTTTGCTTTAAAACTTCGTTTTTCCATAATAAAATCGAATGGGGTGCGAAGAAGGGCTCAGTTTACGACTGGCATTCTTTTTTAACCGGAAGCCCTTCAAAAAACAGCAAAATCGGCTCAATGATGATCTAAAACTAAAATCGATATACGCGGTCGCCTTATAGCGCTATAAGCGCTTGTCGTTTCGAGCCGCTGGTTAGGCCTCACTAAGTGACGTCACCCACGGAGCATGCAGGCCTTGTTGTATCGGTCGTAACGAGTCGCGCCGCAATATTTGGAGCATCCTGTCTAGGTGCTTCTTTATTTATTTTTATTAGTTGGTTGAGTAACGGCTTGCGAGCTTTAGCTGCAACGTATTTGTCTTGGTATTTATTTGTGAACGATTAAGCTAGTTCAAGTTGAGTTCTGTCTGGGAATAAGAAAAGGTATGTTTCATACGAGGGGTGAACCTCGGTCAAGATTGTGTAGACCAAACTTCAATTTCACAAGGAATTTCGAGGAATTCCAGTTGTTTTTACACCAGAACTATACCGCACTTCACACAAGAAATTTCAAGAAACTCCAAGGAATTCCAGGAAATTCCAAGAAAATCCAAGGAATGGTTTGAATGGCATACACTTAGGATTTCTGGAATTATATTAGGAATTGAAAGAAAGTATAGGAAGTATCAAGGATGTTCGGGAAGTATCAAGGAAGTACGGGAAGTATCAAGGAAGTACGGGAAGTATCAAGGAAGTACGGGAAGTATCAAGGAAGCACGGGAAGTATCAAGGAAGTACGGGAAGTATCAAGGAAGTAGAGGAAGTATGAGGAAGTATACGATTTTGAGGAAGTAGTGTACACCATTTAGGTCAGCGGTTTACCCCTCGGATCATTATATTCGTACGGAAGGCGATATATTGATAACCTTTCCAGATCCTCAAGCAGACAGATAGACAGATATTCAGCTTTATGTCTCTATGGAAACACGACAGGTACCCTTACGAGGGGAGAGTATCAACTCGGCGTTTATAAACCCTCTCTGCAAAGGAGGTAGGCGCATGGTGGGTTAGGTATATACAGTGTTCTTCATTGCAGAGAAAATTGTTGTTTATCTGCCTGCCTCGTCTTCATTGAGATAATTGATGAATTATAAAAATATATCGCGTTTCAGTTACGAATGTAGAAAATAATATCCAGACTTTTCATAGATTTATATTCTATGTTGGTCTCACGATTCATATTTGAAATTGATCCTTAGTTTTAGATCCGCACAGCACATTGTTTGGCATGCAAGGTCCTTGATATAACAGAGTAATTGAAAATGTGGAAGATGCCTACTGGAAAAACCACTATACGGAAAGAAAGCGGATATGTAGCAATCTAGTTACGGACGTTGAAAATATTATTCAGGTATGTCTCAGATTCAACATCTATATATTTCCTCTAATGATATTTTCTGATCCAAATGTACTTAGATTAATATGTGATGTTTAGTTGCAGATCCGAAAAGCAGTGTTTGATACTTGCCACTCAATCGGAGAAAACCACCCAGTCAAGACGAACCGAACAGAATATCCGCAAAGAGACCTGACCACAGTATACTTTACAGAATTCAGATCATTATATTCGTACGGAAGGCGATATATTGATCAACTTTCCAGATTCCCAAGCAGACAGACAGACAGATATTCAGCTTTATGTCTCTATGGAAACACGACAGGTACCCTTACGAGGGGAGAGTATCAACTCGGCGTTTATAAACCCTCTCTGCAAAGGAGGTAGGCGCATGGTGGGTTAGGTATATACAGTGTTCTTCATTGCAGAGAAAATTGTTGTTTATGTGCCTGTCTCGTCTTCATTGAGATATTTGATGAATTGATGAATTACAAAAATATATCGCGTTCCAGTTACGAATATTGAAAACAATATCTAATATTCTATTTAGGTCTCACGATTCAAATTTGAAATTGATCCTTAGTTTTAGATCCGAACAGCACATCGTTTGGCCTTCAAGGTCCTTAATATAACCCACGTACGTAATTGAAAATGTGGAAGCTGCCTACTGGAAAAAACACTATTCAGAAATAAAGCGTATATATATGTAGTAATCCGACGTTGAATAATATATTATTCAGGTATGTCTCAGATTCAACATCCATGTAATTCATCTAATGATATTTATTTTCTGATATGAATGTACTTCGATTGATTGATATAATTATGATATTGTGCTGCAGATCAGAGAAGCAGTATTTGATACTTGCCACTCAATCGGAGAAAACCATCCAGTCCATACGAACCGAACAGAAGATTCACAAAGTGAACTGACCAGAGTATACTTATGGTGACTATAGTTATGTTATATACTTGGTATATTATGATTTGATAGTCTTACATTGATGTGACATCTTTATGATATAATTACAACTCAGTCTTATAATGGGCTTATATCACAAAAAAATTTTATTTCATAATTCGATAGAACTCACCCAAACTAGCTCACCACCGCAAACCGTTTCTTGCTGTGAGCTCCCTACGTTTCATAAAAAATTATTGAAATCCCCGATTTTTCGGACCTCTGAAAACGAGGCGATGATGTGACGTCAAAACCCTAATACTGAAACAAGACTATTCCAGACAGAGATGAATGATACATATTTTCTGACAAATCAATTCTAACCTAGATTGACTCTTTGCAGCTCCATGTGAAACGGGTCAACAAAGCAATGTTGCTATGTTTATGAAATATATTGGATTATTGTGAAATTGTAATGGTGCAAATGGTTTTGAGATTGAGACATTTCGTTGTCTAGAGATAGTTTATACTCCAATGATTCAACCTACAATCGACAACTCGAATATATTTTTCTGCAGTAGTGGTAGTGGATATCAAAAGATATTTCAATATCGATTTCGATTTCTCGGATATTTTGTTTGGATGATATGGCAACAGTAATAAGTGTCAGGAGAGTGTCAGTTTCAACCATATATCTACTATTTCTATATATGGCGCATCGCCTATACGATATCTCAACAAAAATGGGACCAAAATGAGAGTACTCTTTGAATCTATGAGAACGAAAAGTGAAGGATGGAAACAGCCATATTGGTTTGACAAATTTCCTATTATTTTTTCCCTACGTCGGTATCAACGCCTATTGGTCGATTTCATTACCTATAGAGACAGAAATGGGTCCCGCTTTGAGGAGAGCTATGATTCATATATCAGTAGTAGATATATATGGCTTATATATATATATGGCGAGATGGGGTTTCTACGTCATAAGAGGGTCTCCGTTTTCAGAAGGTACTATCATTTATGTCCAAAAATAAAACATTCCAGTTAATTTTTCTATCGAATTATGTCGTCAATCATTATTTATGTATAAAAGGATCATTATAAACATGGTTTGAGTTAAAAGTTCTACTAAGGTGTACACGCCCATTTGTATCAATTGTAGCCACAATTTGGTGACCCAGACGTGATATTATGGAGCAGTTTGAGCGAAGCTATATCATACAAATTTCAAGACATTTCAACATCCATGTTAGTGATTCGATGAAAATTTTGGATATGAAGGAAATGCTGACAGAGTACATTAAAAGAACTTATAAGGACCTATTCCACGAAGCCGACTACGGGAGCATTCTTTCAGAGATTTCATCAAGACCAAATGTTTCGAATACTATTTTTACGAAGAAGATCGATAGACTTGAAGAATTGTGCGAAATTCTGATCGTCAAATTTGATGAAAATAATAAAAGATATTATGTTCTGTTGGAAGCAAGACTCGATATTTTGGAGAAACATCAGAATTAATTGATACCAGGAGAGTTAAATTGATAAAATATATTTCTTTAGTTCACACTCAAATTTTGTGACGGATCTAAGAGATTTTATTCTGTTGGGTAGACTATTATGAATATTTATTCCACAAAAATAAAATGATTTTTTCCCGAATTGGGTTTTTATCTTGACATCATTTGTCTCGAACACACTGTATATGTATTCATTTTTCATTTAACTCATACGTCAACTGTCACACGTCATCGGTCATCTGTCACCGGTCATCAACTGACATCTGTCATCGGTCATCAAATTGCAGAATTTTAAAAACTGCCTGATGTCATAAATTATACCGGGCATAGTTTCAGAAGAACCTAGGCAAGTTTACTTGCAAATTCTGGAGGAGACATTCTTGCTTGGAAGTCTACGAATATCCCTGAAGGGTATGTGTGCAGCAATCTCTCACAAAATAGCAAAATATTTTGAACCAAATTGTGGGTCACTGAAAAAGTGTGTACTTGACCCCCAGTATCTTGAATATTTGACAGTTATTTTCTGTTTTGTTTTTCTCACACGATGTAACTCTTTGTGCTGAAGTAATGTACCAATTTTGAGATTAATATCTCATTAAATACGCGAATAATTAAAAATAAACAGTTTTTAATTTCCAACTTTGACACCCTGTATATCGAATATGAAGGGCTATAATGAAAAATGGTAATTAGAAACTCATATTGTTTTTTTTTTTCAAGGAATATATTATGGTTAATGGATTGACCTCCTTTTAGCGGACACCCTGTATACTGCATGCAGTGTAAAATCAGGAACAGACTCTCAGAATCCTTTTTCTTCTTATCATCTCTCTCCCTCTCTCATATATTCAATATTTGATTTTTAGTAATTTTAATGTATGTAAAATAAAATCCCAAGGGACTTCTTCCATAGTAATGGAGAAAGATAAAACCCCAACAATTTCGAGTAGGTATACTGCATCTATGACTGCATGAACATTTGAAAAAGGTACTAATTGATGGGTAGTGTCCTCTATTTGCAGCATAGTATCTTTGATAGTATATCGGAATCGGACATCAATAGAGGTACCTATCCGGACGCAAATACAGACACCTGCTGAATATGATCTTTGAGTATTCTCCAGAACCAATTTCTGTATTTGTGAATTTACCCACCTCAAGCGCCACACAAGCCATGATGCGGAGAGAAAGTGGTAGGCCATCTTCGTTTCCATAAACGGCAATCAGATCCTCCTCCCTGCTCATACAAAGCCTGCATATTTCACTCAAATCTATAATAACTTCGGATTGCTCTTGATCGCCCTCAACTTCGCCTCCACCGCTGCCGCCTTTCTTTCTGCTGTATGTTTTCATTATCACCGCAATCGATAAACTAGTTTACTACTTTACAGTTTACACAACACAAATCTGCAAGTTTCTATAAACAACTGTAAGTATGGTAATTATTCACCTGTATTCACCATTCACTGTCGTCTCACATACCGCCTGTTCTTGTTGGATCTACCAGAAATACTACCAAAAGTACAAAATCTCCTGCAAATGGAAGGCAAATGCAAAAGTTTACAAAACGAGAATTTATTAGATGAATGATGAAGATGAATGTCTTTCAGTTTACTAGCAGCGCACGCGCAGGTCTCAACATTATCGACAATAAAAACTAGGCATCTAGACAGAAATCAGAGACAAAGGACCCAAGGAGACAACTGTCGAAAAACATTGGTCGACTATGGGTCATGTGTCGACATCTACTAGACTACTAGACAGGCCAAAAATGCCAAAATGAAAACACTGAACACTAAGCTGCAGAGATGTAGACTTGTGACGGCTTTGATTTTTGAATGACAATGACACTAATGACAGTCAGATAGCTGGTCACGTCCAACGTCATGGTGCCCGGGTGCCAATGACAGTGCAATGACAGTTATTTTTATATTTTAAATGTCTGCCGAACGGTCTCGGAAGCACTTCATTAAATAGCACATGATAAAATTTATTTTGTTAATTTTTTATTAATCACTGGAAAATACCAATAAACAATACCATTTTTATGGCCTATATTGCAAATTCAAGTATAGAAATTATGTATTCTCATCGAAAGTGACTCAGAAAATCAGAGCTCACCAAGGTACAAAGTGAAGAGACCATACATTTCAATGAAAGGAAAAGGACAGGTTATCTAGCATTAGAAGTTTCTAGAAACTCCTATCTAATCTGTTCCTCTATCTGAAATACTGTACAATACATGTTTTTTCCTCTGCAGGTACATAAGGTATGAACCAACACTATCTGTGGTAGTAGACATAAGAATCCAAAATGTTCGGTTGGGGTAGTACAATTCATGGGGAACTCGGACTTGGTGGAATAGAAGATGAGCATGTCCTGACTCCAACAGTGTTGGATTGGTACCTAGCAAATACTGTTGTAGAGGCTGCCCTTGGAGACAATCACACACTGCTCTTATCCAGTGATGGAAATATTTTTTCCTGTGGGAATAATGATTATGGCCAGCTGGGACATGATCTACCAAGAAAGCGGCCACGTATGTCTTTATTTAGTATGTAACATTTTGCTTCATGTTTATGTGTTTTACTATCATTGTTGTGATGGGGTGAAGAAAAATTGCATGAGAGTCCTTGGGATTGGTTTCAATGGGTATAATATAATATAGGTATACTGAAGTCCTAGTCCTCACAATAACCAGTTCATGCATGAAAAATACAAATAAATGATACAATATACAATACAATGGCCAATGGGTGCATTGTGAATTATTTATTATTGACAATCTCACTTCAAGGTCAAATCCTTATTGACAGTGACTATTAACACATTCACGTTATTATTACAATGTCCTAGTACATATTTCAAAAATTTCTAATAATTTTCATTTTTATTCAATGATTTAGTAGGTACATGTAGGTATCTCCCTCAGAATTTTTCCAGCTTTTAAAGCTTTGTTTACTCCCTTGTGTATGTTTATTTAATAATTTTGAGAATAATTTGCTGTGATTATTTGATTATAAGAGGATAATAATTAAATTCAAATGTACTTTTTTAACTCATTCAATAATCAAACTTTTGATTAATAACTTGATCAGAATGATTGATGGAAGTGAGATATGGTGTAATTACTGATGCACTTTTGTTTCAGAAATTTTACTTGACCCCTGACCTCTGGAGAACAGGGAGAGCAATGATTCCCTCGATCTTTTAATAGATGGCGACATTGCACATTGAAATTGTCCCAGATTTTTGAATTCAGAGTTGAATAATCCCACTGTTACATATTATGTTTCTCGTACCTAAAATGCCATTTGCCATTTTATTTCCACTCGTCACAGCAGCAATAGCAGCATCACCATCTAGCAGGGAAATGTAGAATCAACATCTCGCTCCTTTTGATGTAGAGAAATCATAGTAGGCGGTCCAGTGATTTTTCTGAAATTTTCAATACGTTATAATGGCCGAATACGCGCACTATATCTTATTTCCATCATTTTGATCAGATATATACATTACTACTTGTCATGCTGAATTGAAAAGAAGTGCTTTCATAGTGATGATAGGTTCATATCAGGGGTAAACCGTGGTGGAATTCTGGTGTACAAACAACTGGAATCCCTGGATTTTCTTGGATTTCCTTGGAATTCCCTGGATTTTCTTGAAATTCCTTGGATTTCCTTGGGATTCCCTGTAATTCCCTGGGTGAAATGCGATATATTCCTGCTACAAACAACTGAAATTCCTTGGAATCCCTTGGATTTCCTTAGAATTCCTCAAAATTCCTTGGATTTCCTTGGCGTTCTTTGGATTTCCTTGGAATTTTTTGAGTGAAGTGCCATATAATTCTGGTGTAAAAACAACTGGAATTCCTTGGATTTCCTTGGAATTTCTTGGATTTCCTTGGAATTTCTTGGAATTCCTTGGATTACTTTGGATTTCCTTGGAATTCCTGGGAATTCCTTGGATTTCCTTGAACTTCCCTTCAGTTTCTTGAAATTCCTTGTGTGAATTGCGGTATAATTGATTCTGGTGTACAAACAACTGGAATTCCTTGAAATTCCTTGGAATTCCTTGTGGAATTGAAGTTTGGTGTACACAATTTTGACCATGGTTTACCCCTGGGGTTCATATTTCAGTTTCACAGAACTAAAGTGATTGGAATGTATTGCTAATTGCTAGTGGTGAAACAAAATTCAACATACACCTTGGCTCCGGATATAATCTTGGTCCCTGGGTGATATAATAATGATATTCTTCACTACCCTGGAGTACTTATAAATAACTATTATCTGTGGTTTGGTGAATTTGATAGACAAATAATATATGTTCACAGCAATGACGGCTAAATATCAAGATCCTTATATCAAGTAAGCTGCCGACCATGTCAGGTCGGCAGCTTACTTGATATTTAGCCGATGGTCGGCAGCTTACTTGATATTTAGCCGTCATTGGTTCATCTCATTACATACTAGAAAATCTGATGTATGTGAAGGACAATGAGGATAAATTCAAAGTGCATAGTGGGGTCCACAACTATGATACAAGACAAAAAAACTTGCTCATCCCAGCTTATCATAGGTTGAAAAGGTGTCAAGATGGCCCAGGCTATCTATCCATAAAATTTTTCAATACTCTACCAGATTCCATAAAGAACTTGGAACGAGATAAATTTAAGAATGAAGTTAAGCAGATTTTGTATCTAAATTGCTTTTACTCATATGATGAATTCCTCACACACAAATTTTAATAATTGTTTCTAATATTTTCTAATATTTTCTGTTTATAATCAAATGTTTTAGTCTAAAAATTTAAATTATATATAATTGGATTGTAGCTCCACTATATTGTGCCAAAAGTCAAACTTGCATTGTGCTCATAATTTTGACAAATATTGAAGATTTTAATTCCCTGTTTTTACAAATGTATGCTAACCTGATTACTATAGTTTCCTACTGTTTTGACGAGTGTAAATACCTATGTATAATGACATGAAATATATTGAGTATTGAGTATTGAGTATTGAGTATTGAGTATTGAGTATTGAGTACAGTATACAATACGCATTACACATCATACAGGGTGTTTAGTTTTTTTTATAATAACGGAGACAATATTGTATACATCTAAATGAAATTTGGTACACGTATTTTATGCATCAAGGTGCATCTTCTGATGTACAGAAATTCCCATTTTCTCTACCAGTGGCACCGTTACGGGAATATTATTGTTTGTATTTTACTTAACAGTGAGCTGCGACAAAAAAATTTCAAATTTTATGCAATGTCATGAAAGGCTATTTGATTATGTACAAAAAAGATAAGACAAATAAGTCAATTTACATCTCATCTTAACAGGGTACGGACAGATCATAGCTGCATTCTTTTTTATTGATCTAGAGACTTTAGTTTTGTCTACTGGCATCCCTGACATTGCTGTCACGTCACATCCATGGGCGCTACAGAAAATCATTCAAAATTTTAATAATAGGAATGTACAGGGTATTTACTTGTTGAGGAAGATCATTATGGCGAACGAGTTTTGTGATTATGATCCGATTCTATATAAAATTGGGAGGTATTTTTGGGGTTTTCCGGGGTTGGAGATAATGATTGTTTCGTCAAACTTGGAAAATTCAAGATGACGGATCCAATATATAGCGAAAGAAAATCTGAGGGTTTCCGAGATCGAACTTTATGAGTTTTTGTCAAAATTGGGAAATTCGAAATAGCGGATCGAATATGGCGAACGAATTTTGTAATTATGATCCGATTCTATTCAAAAATTGAAATTGGTATCTGCCATACAGCAGGAAAATGTATTTACCAAATGGTTGGAAAGAATTCTATTGCTAAAATTAATAAAAAAATTGCGTAATTTTCAAAACTGGCTAATGTCATAAATTATACCGGGCATAGTTTCAGAAGAACCTCGGCAAGTTTACTTGCAAATTCTGGAGGAGACATTATTGCTTGGAAGTCTACGAATATCGCTGAAGGGTATTTCTCACATAATAGCAAAACATTTCGAACCAGATTGTGGGTCACTGAAGTTGATGAAATTAATTGTAATCAGCCAAGTACGAATTCTGTATGATTGTTTTTTATGAAAATATCACGAAAACTGCATTGGCTCCAGATCTTACTTCTAGTGTTATTCAAATAACCACTGCTCAAAACTGCACTTTTAATATTACTTTATAGTTTATATAATCATTACTCTACCACAAATTGAAAATATGTAGGATGCAAGAGTGAAAATAACGTGCCTATAAGTTATACTGTATACCTACATTTTTTGTTACTTTCATCACTAAATTATTCGAAGATGACTCTTTATTCAAGGAAGACGGAAAAATCATATATATAACATGGGGGTAAAGTATATTCTATTCTTTATTTTCCTGCACTTCTTACGTATCATTTTTTATCAACCTACTTTTCGTCCTAACCGAAGTTTTATATAAATTCTTCTCTGAATTGAATTTCCGAAAAAATATTTAGCACACATGACATGAGTACAGTAGTTTAGATGCCCACATCGAGGTTTCCACCATTTTTCAATCATAAGGCTTAGCTCATTCAGCTCATAGATAAACTACTGCTCAACTTGAAATCAGAATTCATTCAGTCAATTCAGTCAACCCTGGTATACAGTCTAAGAACAGTATCTTTTGGTGAAATATATTAAGCTTTAAGTACAATTTATATGTTCCCTACCTCGCAAAGATTATGCTTGAGCAGTAAACTTTAAAACTAGAGGATTGTTCATCTATATCTTGGTATATGGAAATTACGTATGATACGTCAGTGACCTCAATATAACCTAAAAAACAACGAATGTCAAGAATCTAGTGTTTATCCCCAGAATTGAATAAGGATGGAACTATATGACTGTTTCACGAACACTTTAGAGTGAGAGGATCTGTCCGTACCCTGTTAAGATGACTTTAACGTCAATTTCCATCAAGGGACCCTAGTGGTGGTAACTTATGAAGCGCCAAATTTTACTCGTGGCTCTTGGTCTAAGTAGTTATGTTAGTGGAAAGCCCCAAAAATTCACCTCATTGCTTGCAGAACTAGTCAGCGGTCTGAGCGCCCATCAGATCACCCACATAGCTTGCGGCTCGATGCACTCGATGGCGCTGAACCGATGGGGCCAAGTGTTCACGTGGGGCTCCGACTATCACGGCCAACTGGGACAGCAGATCGGCGAGAACATACAGCCCGTGCCGAAGATAGTCAAGTCGCTGGCCAAGTATCACGTGGTGCAGATCTGTTGCGGGCAGAGGCATTCGATGGCCTTGACTAACAGTGAGCTATACCATTTTCTTTTGGCCGTGTCTATTCATCGGGGCGTGATGCACGCATGCTCATATTCTGCTCCGACAAATAGAATTTCAGCAATTTTCAGGAAATTTTGCAATTATTTTAATAATTTTCAGAAATTTTTGCAATTTTTGCAATTTTCACGCATTTTTGCGATTTTTGCGATTTTTGCGATTTCCAGGAATTTTCAAGAACTTTTGCAATTTTAGCAATTTTCAGGAATTTTTGCAATTTTTGCTATTTTTGCAATTTTCAGGCATTTTTGCGATTTTTGAAATTTTCAGAAATTTTTGCGATTTTTGCAATTTCTACAATTTTTAGGAATAATTGTGCAATTTTCAGGCATTTTTGCGATTTTTGCAATATTTATGAATTTTCGCGATTTTTGCAATTTTCAGGAATTTTTGCAATTTTCAGGCATTTTTGCGATTTCTGCAATTTTTGCAATTTTCACGCAT